CTGTTCAACAGAAACAGAAGTTTCCAGTTTTTATATAAAGAGAATAGCAAGAAGCTGTTCTGAGGCTCGCATAAGACCAGACTTATGGCACGTTTTGCGTACACCTGGCTTTTCATGTCTGCAAAGTGTGTCCCCTTTCACAATTTCCTTTGCATCCCACAAGGCTCTGGGAGGTAGAAGCAGCAGGGACTGTCATAGATTAGAAGACAGAGGCCTTGTCACAGACATGTGAGCACTGTGCCTCCCAGCCTCCTCTCCTCCCTTTTCTAGTAACTGGCCCCTGATTTTCCTCTTGAGGAAACTCATGCCTCACAATCTTTGTCCTTGTGGTCTGGGTGGGGTTGGCTCCACAGGGGGCACAAGACCTAGGCCTAGCCAACCAGAGCACTCCATTCCCCAAGCCACAAGGATGACATGGGACCTGAGATGGGCAAATGAGAACATTATCCTATCTAGGAGTTGGGATCAAATTACCGAGAAAGAGGCTATTTTTACTGATAAATTCTATTGCGAACAAAGTCAGTACAGAGGAAAACAGATCAAATGATGGTGAAAGATCTATTCCTGACAACATTTGTGGCTGGATCCAGCCATGCTTGAAGCTTACTTACTCCTCAAGCCAGCTTGAGGTGTGGTTCTGTCTCTTCTGTAACAGAGTCCTGACTAATACAGACCTAGTCACAGCAGGAAATGAAAGAGCCAGGACCATACTCGTGATGTAAAAACATTATTATTATTATTATTGTTATTATTATTATTATTTTGGCAGCTGGCAAGTATGGGGATCCAAACCCTTGACCAAGGTGTTACCAACACCACACTAACCAACTGAGGAAACTGGCCAGTCTTAAAACCATTATTAAAAGTATGAAGAGGTATAAAAGCATAAGGGCCTTCCAATGCTTTATTTCTCTTTTGGCCTCAGTTTCCAAATCTGTGAGGTAGGGATAATCACCCCATCTCTTCCACCTCACCTGACTCTGGCTTACTGAACATCTCCTGAGCTTCTTGGCTGAAACAGGGCACTCTGACCCTCCTGCTCTGACTCCAAGAACATTTTGGATGAGAGGCCAGAAAACAGTATACTTGATAGAAATAATCAGCATAAAAGAAAACTGATATCCACTTGAAGCTGCCCCAGAGAAAACTGGATGTGGTAGAGACAATGGCAAGAAAGAGAAAAGAGAACAGGCAGGAAGGAAAGAAGAAAAACCCTGACAATATCAGCAGCTATAATTGAGAACTGATCATGGAAAAAAAAATGAGTTAAATCTTCACTGTAAAATTTACACAGAAAAGGATAAACCCTGCTAAGAGTAGTTTCCATAAAAATAAAAAAAACTGTTAAAAATCATAAACATCTAGTGGAACCATACAGAGATTTCCTGCAGGAATTAAATGAATTTAGTGGCATTCCCCCTGCAAAATATTTTCTGTCATGGTACTGATGTGTTTCTGACAACATTTCTCAGCATCCTGGAGGTCAAAGACTCCTGTGTTCTGCCTTAGCCCCTACCCCTGCAGGCTTTGTCCTGATTTGGGGAGAACAGGGGAGAGATGCCAAGAGAGGGGAGCCCACAGCAGGCACATGGTGGCTGGCCCGAGCCCCAAGCCCTGGGCCACTCACCGTGGTGATAAACCTGTATAGCGGCTGCCGTCTCTCTGTGTACTTGACCGTGATGGGGCTGAGGTCGTAGCGGAACCAGATGGCAGGTATGATGCGGCCCGTGTGGCTGTAGGCGACGTACTCCTGGATAGAGGAAGGGAGCGGGCATGAGAATCAGAAGCACAAACTGTCTCAAGGTGGGTGGGAGCTGGATTGCAGAGAGTCCCCCTGGCAACCCTCCAGAGAGGGCTTTCTTCCCTCTCTCCCCCAGGGAGCCAGACTCCACCGGACCCTCATCTCACACCCTTTCCCCAGAGACCCTAAGCTCTGCCATCCGCATCTGGATAAGCCACGCTGCTGGGGGCATTTCTGACCCTTCCGGCTGTTTGGAAATTGACCGTGTGAGCTGGAAGCTGCACCAGAATTGAAATATGAATCTGAAAGCAGACATGTAAAAGGAAAAGTGTGATTTTTGGCTCAGTCTGAGTAAAGGCCCATCTCCCCCCTCAACGGCTGGGCCATGCAAAAGCCACTCATTTATTCAACAATGGTCTGCTGATCACCTCTGCTGTGCTGGCTGCTGAGGTCTCTGAGGTGAGCAAGCCCTGCTCCATTCCCAGAGGGGGTCACAGCTTGGAGAAGGTGGCAGATAAAAAAATACTCCTAACACTGCAAATTATGTGTGTAAGACAGAGACATGGAGTACTGAGGGGGCCGTGAACGAACGACCAATTCTCCCCTGGGGAATCTGGAAGACTTCCCAAGGAGACATTCTGAGCCACATGACAGATAAGCAGGAGTCCCGACGGCTGTGTGTGTGTAAAATCATTCACTCACAAGTCCCCTGATTGGAGTCAAGGGTTAGTGTATCTCCAGAGTGGCTGTACCAATTTTGAGTCTGTGTGAGTGAGCTAGCTTCTTCAAAGGGGGCAAGAACACAGAACTGGAAAGCCAGAGGGTCCAGCCCTGCCATACACTTTCCTCAGAACGTACACAGCAGGAACTAAAAGGACACTAAGGGCTGATTTAACAGTGTGTCCTTGGGCCAGTCCCTTGCTCCCACAGGGCCTCAGTTTCTCCATCTAAAAACACTTAGGGATCTGCGATGATGGCGCATGAAACCTCTCCAGTTTGGTCACTTTGGGGTGCTAAAAATCTCTGAGCTAGTCTCACTGGACTACAAAACTGGAGACCAAACTGAACCACCATGGTACCCCCAATCCCAAATGCTAGACCTGAGCATTTTTGGCTACTTTCAGGATAACACTGAGGCCTGACCTCCTTCCTGCTGCATTGTTGCTGCCTGCTCACAGGGCAGTCTGGAGCCAAAGCCACAGAGATTGCTGAGCAAGCTCTTCTGGCCACTGGGCCCTTGCCAAAGCCTTGGGGGAGGAAGCCTTGAGCAAAGAAAGATCAGCTTTCTCTAGGGAGGGCTGATGGCGCAGGGTGACTGTCTGGGTCAGAGCCCAGAGCTGAGGGACAGAGAAAAAGAGTGAAAAATAGCAGCAGTATCATTTACCCAAAGCCTTCTTTGTAGGCTAAGCATTTTTGAAAATATTGCCTCATTTGACAGCAATCTTATGAAGTGGAAACCATTCCCATTTTACAAGCGAGTAAACCGAGGCACACAGTGGTTACTTGACGTGTCCCAGATCCATAGCTAGTGAGTGACTGAGCTGGGATTTGAAGTAGAAGTGTGGTCCAGAACCCGTGCTCTGTCTGCTCAGGCCCTGATGGAAAAAACCCACCCATCAGCATCTGTGGCAGAATCTCAATCAGTAGGTTTCAAGAATTTGTGTCCCATTGGCAGGGGCATCTCCAGAGAAGCCTGAGGCTGCCTCAGTTTGACACCGCTAACTGTTGGTCATCCTGTTCTGCTGACTCTGACCATGCTCTGCTTCCCACTGAGGCCTGCCTACTTCCCCATGACTTTGAGTGTTGGGGTCCTGGGATATCTCTCATAATCAACAGTTGTTAATGAATTGCCATCCTGGTGTGATTCACCAGCCTCGTGATTTTGGATAAAGTGCTTGTGCCCCAAGAGCAGGAGCATCTATTGTGTGCCTGCCCAATCAGGGTTCTGAGTCTGAAGGATTGGGACCAAATACAGAGCTGTTGAGATGTTTGCAGCCCTGGGGGAGGCCGCCTGCCTTCTCAAACATATATATCTATATGTTGATATAGTTGATTTTCTATATCCCAGTTGATTTTCTCCCCTTGACTCTGTGACCACCACTTTGACAGGTCTTCTTTACCCATCCATAAGTCCTCCTGAAAGGAAGCAGCACAAATCTCACGGGTGCAGCCACTTGTCACCTCTGCTGTCTGCCAGCAGAGGGCACAGTTGCACACAGGTTGGCCCAGCTACTGCCCGCGCACCTTGTTGGCCACTGTGTACTGGTAGGAGTACCGCTGCTTGCCACTCTTGTCCTCGTAAACCGTGGGCACGATCTTCAAGATGTAGTCGTGGGAGGCAAGGGCTGTGAGAAGGATACACAGAAAAATGAAGAAGGGGGATGGAGATTGCCTGGCTGGTAGCTCTTTCTATGTCATTTCAATCCTAAACTTGCTTGGCATTGTCAGGGGCTCATTCACATTTTCACACCCCCTCTTTATTTTCTCCCCTTGAATACCAGGAATTGAGAGCATCCACCTGCCAGGATATTTACTACTGCACTGTATAGAATATTAAAATTCTGCCAACAACCCAATGTCCATCAATAGGGCAACCATTAAACAGCAGATGCTGGGAGAGGCTACTTTCCAAGGGTTATGGTTAAGTGAAAAGAACCAAGTTACAGACAGGATGTACAACATGTTTCCATGAATTGCGGGCAGGGGAAGATACCTTCTCTCTGTGTGTAAATATATAGAAGAACCATCTGGACAGATACCCAAACACTATGAGCAGCTTTAGCCTCTGGGGAGGAAGACAGGATTAGGGAAAGATCCTATTTCATTGTGAACCCTCTGGTATTGTTTGAATATTTTTACTCTGAAAACAAGCTGAGTTTCAGTTGTAAAAAGAGCCCACCAACCAGAAAAAGTACATCTATGAAGAATTGATTGATTTCTTTCCTCATTTTCAATTAATGGCAGATCACTTCTTCCTGGATGGCGGTTACTCATCTCTGTGTCCCAAGAGCCCTGCGCAGGGCCTGGTACAGAGTGGACGGTGGCAAATGCTTACTGAATGAATGAACAGATAGAAGGATGACTGGACAGAGGCATGAATGGAAGAACAGATGAATCAGCTACAGATAAGCATGAGGTAACTGGAATCAAACACAAGGCTGATTGAATGCTGGCCCAAAGCTGCCAAATATCACCCAGGAAAGGTATGAATTCTCCTGGGCCTTCTGGGATGCTAAGAGAAGCTCACCAACCTTCTACCATCTTGGGTCAGGGACTACAGAGCTACAACAACACAGAAATTTAGGCCTGTGAGTTCTAGTCCTGGTCTCATAGTCGAGTCAGTCCTGAGTGCTTGGACCCATCTTCTCTAACAGGGCTGGGGAGATGGACGGTATTCATGGCCCTGACGCACACCCCACCCTGCCTCTTCCTGCCAACACCACATCTCAGTAAGGAAAGGACTGTGCTTCCTGAATTGTTTTGAGTTAATTCCTCTGAAAACCCGGGAAAAGCCCTGGGGCCTCAGAGCCAAGTTCATGAAGACCCTAACACCCCTCTGTTCAACACTGCAACAGTTCTAAGATGTCAGAAGCACTGGAATCACCTGGAATTAAAAGGCAGGCACCTGGACCTCATCCCTAGAGAATCCCACTCAATGGGTTGAGGGCCGGGCTAATGCCCACTGCCCCAGGTTAAACACTTGAAATGAATGTCTTACCAAAATCACACCTGTATTATTTTTGTTAGAATACAAAACATAGGTGATCACACAGGAAAAAATTAAAATCACCCATAAATCTACCATACTCAGAAAACTGTGATTCACATTCTCATGTATAAACTTCCAAACTCATGTTTATACAAATATTTATGTTTTCCTAAAACAGGATCATACTGTACCTTTTCCTTATATCTAAATATCATGAATATTTTCTCAGGTCCAAGACACAGAATGTAAGCATTGCAGTCTGTTTCATTCACCTCCTAGAACCAGAACCTAGCCCAGCACCTGGCATATACTAGGTGCTCAATGCATGTTTGCTGCCTGACTGCCAGCGACGGCCTGATACATCATGGTCAGTAGCTGCATGCATCCCATGATGTGGGCATGTGTGACATACTCAACCAACCCCCTATGGCTGAACACTGATGCACTTCCTCGTTTTCACACATAAACAATGACCCAATGAATATGACTTTCCTGGATCTTTGTACAATCCCCTAATTATTTCCTTCGCTTACTCTTCTATGAGTCAGTGGCCATTTTTAAGGCGTTTGATACAATTTGCCAAAGGCCCACTAGAGACACTGTCCTTAAATACACCCACGTGGATTCCTTGTTAGCTGACCACTCCTAGGGACTGCTGGCTCTGACTTGGTCCAGGCAGGCCCACATTCCCTTCAGCTTCTCTCCCTCCATTACCTCACTCCCTCCTTCCCTCCAAACATCTTATTATGGAAAAATTCAAACATAAAGAAAAATAAAGGAACCATATAACAAACTCCCATGTAGCCACTTCCCAGCTTCAGCGACCACCAATACTTGATCAGTCTTGTTTTGTCCCTACCCCAACCCTGGGGGGGGCGCTCTGAATCTGCATTTTTAAACCAGTAGCCCATGTATATATGGCAAGTTTGTTTTGATTCCAGTTACACCATTCAGGACCAGTTACACAATTCAGGACACAATTCCACATAAGAAAGGTTCACCTTAGATGCTGCTCTAGGGAGTCTCGTTCCTGAAGGTAGCTGTTGACAGCGACGAGGAGAATGGCTAACATTTACTGAGTGCTCACTGTGTTCTGGGCCGTGTTCTAAACCCCTTCCATGCATTTCACTAATCCTCATGGCAAGGCTGTAAGGTGGAGGATTCTCCCCACTTTAGGGATGCAGAAACTGAGGCTTAGGAGGAATTAAATGACTTTCCCCAGACCACAGGGCTGGGAAACGGTGGAGTGGGGCTGTGGAGTCCGCGGTCCTCATCACCACACCGCACGACCATGTGGCAGGGGCTCTTCCACAGTGGTCTCCAGGGTGTGACCGCTCATCACTTCTTACCATTGATTATACACCTACCAAACCCTGGGTACTGGGCTGGGTCCTGGGGACAGAACAGTGGGCAAGGCCAAGTCCCCAAGTTCACGGAACTTATGTTCTAGTTGGAGTGACAGCCAAGAACAAGAACATTTCAGAGAGTGGGATGTGCTAGGAAGAAAAATAGGTTTGTCACTAGGAGTGAGGATTACTTTGGATATGGCGGTCAGGGAGGGTCTCTCTGAGGTGGTGGCATTTGAACTGAGACCTGAATGACAAGAAGAAGCCCCCATCGGAAGACCTGGGCACAGAGGGACCTGTGAAGGCAAAGGGCCAGTGGGGGGACTGAGCCTGGGAGCTGAGGAAATAAAAGCCAGCCCTACCCCTGGCTGTCTACTGCTTGATCTAATACTCTTTTCTCTCCAGTTAAGCCAGCCCGTCCACACTGTCTATCTGCTCTGACATTCTGGGGCCTTCTTGGCTTGATCTTCTTCCAGTGTCAAGCAGCTGAGGGTCCATCCTCATGGCAGGTGTTTGTGAATGGCCACCTTGGGACAACACGCTACCCTCACACAGGAACACTGATTATGCCACTGTATGAAGAATTATCCATCTCTGTTACAACCGGACATTTGCATCAAAACAAGGAGGCACTATCCACCAGAAAGGAGGTACCGCTGTACACTCGTCCGTTGCCGGAGGCAGCATGAACAGACACACACCCAGCTGGAAAGCAGCTGGATCATGTAAAGCAAGCATATCAGACTCATTCCTGTAATGGTAAAAAACTAGAGACAACGGACATTTTTAACAAGACCATGCCTGAATAAAGCACAGCAGAGCTACGATGAGCAACTGTGCCTCTGTTATAATTGGAAAGTATAAAAATGTGGTTATATAACAATGCCAAGTACAAAAATCAGAAGGTAAATTGCTAACTAAGCCTTGGAAAAACAAAACGGACTTCTGCTCACAGACAAGGATTTCACAGGGACAAAGTGAAATGAAAAGTTGGATTTGTGTCAAAGGGCAGGTCATGGAGGGATGTTTTCTTTTGCTTGGATTCCCAACTGTGGGAGAGCAAATGTATTTTAGGAAATAATAAGAAAAGCCATACGGGTGAAAAAAGGTGAGCTCAGGCGAGGAAATAAGAAAAGTCAAGGCAGCCTGCCCAGCAGGATCCAGCAGGAGGGGGGTCTGCTTGAGCAGACAGGCTTCTCAGGCCTGTTCTGTGCACATCCCAGGGCCCCATGGGCATGTGCGCACACGTGTGGGTAGGTGTGTGTGCACACATGAAAACACTCTTCTGCCTGCTTGTGGAGATGTGGCACCTCTTTAATCTGGGCTGAGGGAAAGGACTGCAGGAGGAGGCTTTGTTGATGGGAGGGGTCGGGGAGGTGCCTGCGTGGTCAGACCTGACTGGGCCACCTACGGACCTGTACTCACAGTGCGACTTAGAGCCAGAATAGATTCTGGCCCTGCCCTCACTTCCTATGGGATCTTAGGTGATTATCTCAACGACGAACAATGATGTGGCAGTGGTGATAACAGCAATAACAACAGCTGGTATCCACTGAGCGCGCATGACGTGCCAAGGGACGCCACATACCTTCCCTGGGGACAAGTTGCTTTTCTTCCCTTCTCCATAAGATGGGAATAATTCCACTTTCCTCACAGGCTGGCTGTGGGAATGGAGCGTGAACTTCCCTGCCTCGGAGCAAGTGTATGATAAGCATTCCTGTCCCTCTGAGCTCCCCCTTTCAGGAAACTTGGAGGAGAAGGCTGTTTCCAGCTGGGATACGTACGGTTGGAGGTGAGTCTGTCTGCTCCCCCAAGAGCGTTGAAAGCTCCGTGAACGTTCTGGACCTGTGGAGAAGCACAATGAGGGGACAGTGCCCAGGACGCTGACACCTCCAGGCCTGGCCCTGGCTGTGGGAGAACAGCCAGGTGCCACCTGCTCCAAGAACCTTACTCATGTGTAAATGGGGGATCCAGGAGGGTTTGTCTTGTAGAGAAGCTGTGGGGAGGAAGAAACAGCACAGGCCTGGCACACAGTAGACATTAGCTTGCTTCCCATTTTGAGCACCTACTGTGTGCCACTCTGTCCTGGCCACTTCATGTCATCTCATTTAATGCCGCTAATGATGTATTGTTGGGCCCATTTTACAGAAAAGCAAACCAAAGCTTGGAGAAGCACCAGTACTTGCTTAGTGTCCTGCAGCTGGCTAAGCCAAACTCTGAATTCAGGTCTGCCTGACTCCTAAGGCTAAACTCTCAGCATTAAGCCAAATAGAAAATTCAAGTAAAGGTGGATTCTGGGTCTCAGCAGGCTCCTCCTGAGAACCCCACAACCCTCTGAAAGGCCCCTAGCAAAGCCCAAGATGGGGGTGCCTTAGAGCCGCTGGCCTCCTACTGTGTCTGTGAAGAGACCCCTCTTCCTGGCAGCTGGCTGTGCTGTGTCCCCCCAGCAGGGGCTGCTGTAGAGTGGGGCTAAAAGCCTCATCCCACCTCTTCTCAGAGGATGACGGGAAAACAGGTTAGCCTCAAGGAGCATATAGAGCAGGACAAGGCACACAGGTACATGGAGCATGCCACCATAGGCTCAGTCAACAGGGGCCACTGAGCTAGACACTCTGGAGGCCTTCCTGGAGGAAGTGACACTGACATTAAGATCTGGAGGAAAGCAGGAAGTTAATCGGACATGTAGCCTGTCCAAGCCTGAGCCTGGAGACTGAGGAGCAGAGGCCCACATGGCCCCAGAGAGGAAGCAGGGTGAGGTGTGGGAAGGAGGGGAGATCACAGAGGTAGGTGGGAACAGGCTCCAGGAGCAGTGGACAGCAGGTGGGTAACCTGATCCTTGATCCCAGTCTCGGGTAGCTGATGTTTATGGGGCACTTAACAGAACTGCACACTCTCAACAAGCCCAGAGGAAAGGGAAGGCTGTCCATTTACTGCCTTGGGACTGACAGTCTGAAGACCTGATTTCTAACCCACAAGGGTGGTGGTTATGGAGACAAGAGTGTTAGAATGTTCCCTTCCACTGTCACGTGTCACAGTTTTATCTCACATTTATTTGTACAATTATTTGATTAACATCTCTCTTCCCCACTAGACTAGAAGCTCCACACGGGCAGGGACCACCCTCGTTCTCACCAATGTTCACAAGGCCTGGCACATAGTAGGTACTCAATAAACAAATGAACGTATAGGCAATGGATGGGCCCTCAGCCAAGTTTTGTAGATTTAAGAAAAAATCAAGTTTCCACCGCACTAATGACTGAGCAGAGGGCTGCTGCTGTCCTGTTTTGCCACCACACGTGTCAGTGCAAGACTGCTTCCCCTCCCTCATCAGCCCCTCCTCTCCTTTTCTCCCCTCTGACCTGCCATGGCCTGGGCCCTCATCTTCCCTGGCCTGGGATGCAGCCCTTCACTCACCTCCCTGTCTCCTGTCTTGCCTCATGGGCTGTCTTCCTCACAGCAGACGGGACCCCAACCTGACCTGTCAGTCTCCACCTTCCTAAATCGAACACGGGTTTCTCACCCCACATAAACCCCAGCTCCCTGCTCCCCTGTCAGCTGACTCTGAGGAGCCCTCCCTTCTTCCCTGGGCCTCTGGCATCTCATGTATAGAATGTCATACTGGTGTCACGGACATTTACTGATCCATTTTGTTGAAAGCAATTTTAAGGGTCTTTTATATAAAAATGACCTGTTGCATGGTCATTGGAATGGGTATTAGGAAAGGGTGATATCTGAGACACCCCCTGCTCAGGAACCATTTCCCTATCCAGTGCCTGGCCAAACTCTTCTTACTCTTGAGGACTTGGCTTAGATGGCACCTTAAGGGTCACCTCCTCTGGGAAGCCCTCCCTGACTTCCCAGGGTCGGGGTACTCCCCTTTCCTAACATCA